AACAGCTGGAGTCTCAGCTCCCTCCCATAACAGCTCCTCCTCTTTTCAGTGCCCGAAGGTGGCAGCTCTGAGAAACAGCCCTTTAAAGATAGACACTGCAGATAAAAACATGTATATAATTGTGTACAAAGGAGGGGATTCCTCACTAGACAGTTCCTCCCCCCATTTTGGGGCTGCGTCTCCCTATTTCTCCTTCCCCCGCATTTGGGGAGGGGTGTGTGGCAGGGGAGGAAGCTAGTAACCTAGATCAGTGGTTTTCAACCTTTTTTCATTTGCAGACCCCCTAAAAAAATTTCAAATGGAGGTACAGACTTCTTTGGAAATCTTAGACATAGTCTGTGGACCCTCAGGGGTCTGCGGACAACAGGTTGAAAACCATTGACCTAGATGTTTTGCCCTGCTCTCCTGGCAACCCAAGTTTAATTCCCAAACCTGGCAGAAACTAGGAGTCCTAATAGTAAGTGCTCTGCACTGCAGGGCCACCCAGAGGATTCAGGGGGCCTGAGGGCAAAGCAATTTCAGGGGCCCCTTCCATAAAAAAAAGTTGCAATATTATAGAATACTATATTCTCGTGGGGGCCCTTCCAGGGCCAGGGGCAAATTGCCCCACTTGCTCCCCCCCCCCGGGCGGCCCTGCTGCACAGCCACCTAGCACACCTGTGTTCCATCCTTGATCTCTCAATTCCTCAAGGTGCTCTGGAGAGTGGCCACATGGTTATTGTTCTGTACTATCATACTGCCCTGGTTCTGCTCCTGATCCCTCCATCCTAGAGGCTGTGAGCTCTGCCCAGCTCAAGCGTGGTAGCCTAAGAGTTAATATTCTGCACACCCATATGAGATACCTAAGCTTTGGTTCCTGGCCTCATTTTCTTAGGGCTTGTCTACATGGGGAAATTGCCCCAAATAGTTATTGTGGAATAGCTCCCACTGTGGACACTCTATTCTGGAATAAAAGTCACTTGTAGTCCGGAATAATTAGTGTACTTCCAAAGCTGAGTAAGGATTCTGGGATAAAAAAACCCATATTTTATTCCAGAACAGAGTGTCCACACAGGGAGCTATCCTGGAATAACTGTTCTAGTGGATTTCCCAGTGTAGACAAGCTCTTAGGCTGCCAGGAGCTAGGGGCTGAGGATGGAGCACTGACATCTCTGAAGAGCTGTAAGATAAACAAAGACCATATTTCAGTGGGAAGAGAGTGCAGCATGGCCCGTCCAGATTTTGCAACGGCAGGGGGAGATGCTCCCCATTCAGCTCACTTAGCAGAGCTGCTGTTTAAAGATCCCTCTTAGGTTCCCTGATCCAGTCTCAGTCAGGATAACTTTGGGGCAAACACAAGAGCCCCGCTGCTGGGGCCCTTCTCATTGGTTACACCCACTCTAAGAATGTCTAGACACCAGCTGGCAGAAAAGCAGCAGTATTTCTTTCCAGCAGGGCGAGAAGCTCCATTGGGAGTCCTGCCCTGTTTCTCTGGGCTCCAGAGAGCGTGGCACAGATGCCCAGGATGATCAGTCTAGGACAGGGGTAGGCAACCTTTCAGAAGTGGTGTGCCGAGTCTTCATTTATTCACTTTAATTTAAGGTTTTGCGTGCCAGTAATACA